GAAAAATTGCCTCAAATTAAAATAGGTGGTAAGAACCTATGTAATAAAAAAAATGTTAGTGGCTACAGGAAAAACTATTAGGATAAACTAAATGAGTTGCTCATTTAGTTTATCCTATTAGTGTTAGGAATCACACGTTAAAAGGTAAGCCCTCGTTAGTCCTTAGCTCGCACAAGTTTCTCAACTTCTGAGAGTTGTCGTTCGTATGGGGGCGGCAGCTGATTAACGGAAAAACAGATTTTAAAACAGATTTTAAAGTGCAATTTTCAAGAGACAAAGAATGAACAATGGGCTGTATGTGACAGGTAATGAGAAATTATGCCAGTCTTGTGCACGGCTGTCCACAACAGAGCATAGAGCTGCTACTATGAAGGGTAGAATGCTGTTGATTTACTTGTGCTGGGATTGTAGAACTAGAGTTTGTACAAACAGCAAACCTGACCCAAACGATTTAGAGGAATAAATCAAAAATATTATGAAAAACTGCTCTCTTCTCTTACAACTGATAAAATTGAAATGAAAGAAATCAAGAATCAGATTACTATACTTAAAAAATCCGGTAGGTATTGAACTAATCCGATTGTTAACCAATAACTCAATGGTCTCAACCTTGACAAATCCTGTTTCTAGTCTCCGTGTTATGAATCACACGTTAAAAGGTAAGACCTCGTTAATCATTAGCTCGCACAAGTTTCGGCTTCTGAGGGTTGTCGTTCGTAGGGATGCGACAGCTGGTTAACAGAAAAACAGATTTTGCACAGAATTCCAATACTCTTCTGTTTCCTGTTTCTAAAAAGAGTCTCAAACACTAAATTATTTTTCCACAAGTGAATAGTATCGTGAAGAGATCTTATAATGAAAACGATCGCGAAAAACAGCTAAAGCACCCATGAATCTAGTACATTGTTACAAAAGGAAATACAATATCTTATTAACCAAACGGTACAGTCAAACATTTGTGAATTAGCGAAGGTTCAAACACAGACATAATATATGGTAGTAAATCAAAATGAGGAAGAAAAAAATGATGAAACTAAAGCATGAGATTTTGAAGAGCCAAAAAAAAGACAAAGAAAGAAAAAAAAATTGGTTTTATATATCACCAAAATTCCAGATAACACAACATAAGACAATATTACTCAGTTCCAGCAAAATATGTTAAATTCACAAGATTTGAGTGTGAAAAAGGTAAAGTTTGCGAATCCCTGTTCTGACAATCAATCATTTATGATTAGTGTCAGCCCAGAACATTTAGAAATAGTGTATTATCCCAACTTTTGTCCAAAAAAGATTCTTTTTGGTAAACCGAGTTTTTTTGGTAAACAATCCCAAAAAAAAATTTCATTTCAACATTCAGTGTCTCACCAATAAAGTTGATCAATTGCAATTGTATCTTGAAGATAAACCTCATGATATTATTTGCTTGACTGAACATTGGCTTAATATAAGCTGCTTGAATATTTTAAACATTAACACTTTTGACCTTAGGTAAATCATGCTATTGTAGAAAAACTATGCAACATGATGGTGCTGCAATATATGTAAATAGCAAAATAACTTGTAAACCATTCCTTTTACAATCGTTTTGGGGTGAACAACATGCAGAGTTTTTGTGGAATCATGTTAATTGAATCTAATACTGTCCTGGTAACTACTTATAGGTCTTCTTAATCCCAAGATTATGGTTTATTTTTCAATAGAATTGAAGAAATTCTCACAAAAATTTCAGATAAATACAAAAAAGTTGAAGATTTCAATATTGACATAAATAAAATGTGTTATATTTCTGAAACTTGGCTAAATATTTTAGATTCTTATGGTCTAAAACCCAAAATCACTACTCCCACCAGAACAGGTCCCAAATCTTCTAGTTGCATTGACAATATTATAACTGATCTACATGACTGTTGTAAGTCTTTGCCATCCCTCTATTTCAGATCATGTAGGACAATACATATATATTTTCAAACAACAGTTGTGTAATGTCGAGATTGAATGGTACAGACAAATAAGCCAAACGGGTTTGGTTGGTATAAAACAAGCTCTTCAATTTATTAACTGGCATATTTTCTACGATGATAAAAGCCCGTTAGAAGTATCACCAGAAACTATCAATAACACTTACAGTAATCTTGTTTCCAAATTTTTCCCTTTAAATAAATCTAAAAATAAATATGTCAAAAGATCAATAAACTTTCTCAATGATGACTTGCGTCAAATTCAAACAGTCAGCATCTCTTCAAAAAATCCTAATGATAAAGCGATTTTTGTAGAATACAATCAAACATATCAAAGTGAAATTAATTTTAACCAAAACAAATTCCTACGACCATTTTATTCGGACGTAAAATAACAATTTTAAACAAAACTCTTTTTAATAAAAATACTACTACTGTCAATCCAAATGAATTTGATATATTTTTTCAAATATAGCCGAAAATATCATTAAATCTCTTCCAGCATGTAATACCAATACATTAGACTACTTAAGTAGTTTTTCCAAACCATGTCATTCATGTTTAATGCTCCCTGTGCCTCATGAAGAGGTAGTGAATGCAATTCATAAACTTAAAAACACTAATTGTTATGACATTTATCATTCAAACAATCGAATCCTCAAAGAAACTATGAACTTTCTTGTAGAACCTCTAACAGTTTTCTTAAATAACTGTTTTAGTGAAGGGCATTTTCTAGATGTATTTAAAAATAGCAAGGTAATACCCATCCATAAAAAAAGAGATCTGAATTCTTCTGATAATCACCGACCTATTTCAATTATACCTTTTTTGGGAAAAATCAATATGGATTCATCAGAAATAGATCCACCACCGACGCAGTACTTGAAGTCATCCAACAGGTGATTAGAAACGTGGAAAATAAAGACCACCCCTTTTTTTAATCTACATAAATAGTATATTATACAGTGCTAGTCAAAAGTCCCTCCCCCCCTCGTATCTTTGGAACGGGTATACTTATAATAATGAAATTTGGAGGGTGGAAATAAACGGATGTAGGCTTCTTAACTGGTCATAACAGGTGACGCAATAGTCATAAATGACNGTCCCATTTAAAATTTTTGGTCACAGTGGCCTTGTGACGTCATTTATGACTATTGCGTCACCTGTTATGACCAGTTAAGAAGCCTACATCCGTTTATTTCCACACTCCAAATTTCATTATTATAAGTATACCCGTTCAAAAGATACGAGGGGGGGAGGGGACTTTTGACTAGCACTGTATTACCTTTAACCCATAAGGTAATAAAATATATCATTTATGTAGATTAAAAAAAGGGATGGACCCGAGATGGATCCTTAAGATATTCCATTCTATTACCTTTAACCCAAGCTGCCCTTGTTCATCTTTCCCTCCCTGAACCACTGTGCAGGCTGATTTTTGGCAAGTGCCCAAAAAGAGCATGCACTGGTGTGGTGTGGTTCTCTTATTCCCTAACTGAATGGCATCCCAACGATGGCTTAATAGCAAGGTGTGTGTATCCGTGCCGAGAGGATGAATGACACTGAGCCTATCAGCTGTCTCTACGGAACCTTCAAGATACCGGGCGCCTTCTCGTCGTACCATCGACTTGCATCGCCTCTGCCGTGATTGACCTTCTTTCCCTAGCTACTCGTGGGACTTTTATGGACAGATGATTCACCAAAACCAGAGGCGAAAAAGCCCTGCACGGTTGAATCTAAGGCATCGTCAGGTGTAACTGACGTGCAAAAACCCTCATAATGGAAAATTTTTCGCAGGTATCAAGGTGGGAATCTTGCACCTTGACTATCCGACTACCTCATTAACGATGAAACAGCAGAGCATATACTTTGTGCCTGCCCCGCTGGGAACCGAATCAGGTTTTTAGAGTTCGGCAGAGTAGTACTCTTACCATCTGATCTGAAAGACCCCTCACCATACAAACTAATCGGCTGGGTTCATTTGGTCGAGTGTTAATAGGTGTGAGCCACAATAAACCCTTGCGGGTTGCGGTGGAGGGTCGAATAGACCCACTCACTTTGGACCTAACCATACCTAACCTTTAACCCAGTACAGTAATCTGCTTTGTCGACGACACCACAATGTTACAATCAAATTCTGGTATCTCAAAGTTACTCGTAAATGTCAATGAAACTGAAGACAAAGCAGAGTACTGTTTTCCATCCAACAAACTAAAACTTAACAGGAAAAAAACTCAGAAAATAACTATATCTTCTCATACCAGGGCAACAACCAAAGCTCAAGTTAAATTATTAGGTATTGTACCAACTTTTTATGACTTGTCACAAATGTATAATCATAACGTAATCGAAAAAAAATCTATTTATCTATCTACCTAGAACACCAAAAAAAATTTTGTCAAAGTAAGAACGCCTCCATACAATAATCGATATTTTCGAGACAAGTTTTTCCGAAGTATCAGATTCGAATCCAAAAACAAAAAATAATAATCACCGCCACCAAAATTAGTTATTTCACATCGACCACATGTACTAGAACGATCAGTGATGTGCTTTTGTTAAATGAATGTGTGATAATTTACGAAACATTGTATCCCATAAAAAACGTAACAGGTACGCATCTCAACTAATCAATTGTTGAAGGGCTTTGTGAAAAGAATAAGTTCTATTTATCTTTCTATGTAGGTACTCCAAACATTGAATTTTTAGCTTCAATATTTTTCCAATATTTCTTTTTACATGGTATAACTAATAATATCTAACCTGAAATCTAGTATAAATTATGAATACAATGATAATAATTATAAAATTTTTTCAATAGATTTTATTTAAGACGTGTTTAGTAAAACGGTAGCTTCATCAATCCAAAAGTCACCGTACCAATCCAACTGGTGAACCAACCGTGTAGCGAAACACGTTTCAAATAAAATTAATTGTGGAAATTCTATAATTATCATCATGGAACTAGGATAGATTGTAGTGATATGAAATTCAAAATAGGCACTTTAGTTTCTACTGGATTAAGAAATAAATGAAACTTACATCAATACAGGTTTCAAAAGTGATATGTAGAGCACTCCATAACATGAAAATCCAAGTAGCTCCGTTACTCAATGAGTTGTTATAATAGTCACCAAAACATTTTCTGAGTATCTTTGGTATGCACGTAACTTCGGTCTTGAAAAATGAATTTAGGTACGGCATCTTATGGGAACTAAAACAAGAGAAATCAAACAGAAACGTCTTTTTCGCCATAGAGGAACAATTTTTTTTCAACTGGTTTACTTCATAATTTTCAAATTTATCAATGTTATTGATTGAAAGTGATGTAATGATCCCACACATTTCCAGACTCAATATTTCGTCATATTCATTATATGTACTTCAAAATTTCAATGGTATTGTATATTTCTCAAGATTAAATGTAGGTATATCAGAATTTTCGTTGGAAGCAGTTATATTTTGAAAATCTGTTGGAAAAAATTGCGGAACAAATTCATGTTTGATGAGTAGAAATTTGAACCTCTGGCGTGAAATGAATCTATTGAAAACAGTTTTCCCTCACCAGAACAAAAATGCTGCCTCTCGACGCGCGTTTTGCTAACCAAATTAGCATCATTAAGAGATGATTAAAACTGCATTTTTGTTCTAGTGAGAGAAAAATGTTTTCAATAGATAACAATTTTAGAGTTTCTTTGAAACTAAAAACACAGACATTTCCGAAATTTGTTTAAGCTCGACCTAAACCTTTTTGTTTAAAAGCCATAATCGTTCAAGAATTGGATCAACTTATTGAAATTGGTGTTTTTGTTGCAGTAGAATTATCCGATTAGGCAACCCTAATATTTCACGTATATGTAGAGACTTTAAAATTACCCTAAACGTTCAATTAGATCAGCAATATCCACTACCGCGAATAGAATATTTATTTAGTGAAAAGCAGTACTCAATATAGAACAGCTAATAAGCCTTTTCAAAAACACGGTTGGGTCACCTGATCCTTTAAGTATTGCGAAAGAGTATACCAATGATTTTGCCTCCCTTATCAATCTTCTCTCAGACATGCACTGCCACATCACAGATCGATCAATGAAAGTAAGATGCACGATCACTCTTCAAAAACAGGTCCAACCAGGAAAGAGCCAGCGGCGGAGTGGCTATATATGTTCATGAGGACTTAGAATTTGTAAATATACCTCTTAAGAACACTCTTGAAGCAGAACTGTATCCATACCAGCTATAATGAAATTGAATGTAACATTTACATACCACCAAATGGAAACTTGAATGCAAACAATTACACTCCCTGATCTCACAAATACCATCTCCACGTAATATAATGGGTGACCTCAACACACATAAGTATAATGTGGGGCTCTGATATAACTAATCCAAGGAATCGTCAAGTCGAGAGCACTATTAATACTTTGAACCCTTTCCGTCATAGACCTCTCCCTTTGCAATCCACTCCTAACAGCCCAACTGGAATGGGATGTTCTTGACAACTTATATAAAAGCGATCACTTTCCCATAATCATCAATTCAATCAGAAAGTTTGAAAATCATACCAAACCCCTCTCAAAATAGAAAATAAAAACAGCAGACTGGATAATCTTTTCGAATATCATCCAAAACAATATATCCGAGGCAGTATTGAAGAAGATATCGACACAACTCTGGAATCCTTTAACAAATTAATACTGAATGCTGCGAACAAAGTCATTGGTGAAAATATTATTATGAAGCGTCATGAGCCTGTACCGTGGTGGAATGAAGAGTGTAATAATGCCATAATAACAAACAAAAATGAATTCAAGAAGACGAGAGCTCAAGCTCGCTACATTACAAACTTGAGCAAAAAATAATCATGGAAACGATACATTCAAAGTATAAACAGTAACACCACAATGACATCTGTATGGAAAACGGTAAGGAGCATTTCAGGGATCGAAACGTATCACTCAATAAAGATCTTGAAAAACAACAGAAATATCATCACATCTAGCGAGGAAATAGCAGAACATATAGCGGACAGTTACTTAGAATACTCTAGTAATGACAACTACAACAGGACTTTCTTAGATTACAAAGAAAATCTCTACGTAAATGAGAGGACCGTTTGACAGCAAAATCTTCTGCTTTCACAAAATATGGGACACGCTGTATATGCAAAATTTGATTAACAATGGCTTCTCTCTATCACATTCTAGTAGTATATGTGTAAATTTTACTCAAATATTTTCAATATTTTTTTTATTCATTGAGTGTTTCTTGTGATTAATATGTATCATTTCTAAAAATATTCTTTCAGTTGCATTAATTTCCCTATCTATAATATGTGGGTTTTCGAAATTCATTCTATGATTCTCTAAATTAACATACTCCGCTAACCCTCAAGAATAAATATTTTGTTGGCAGTCTCTCTTAGGAGACTACTGAGAGGTCTAGATGTTTGTCCTATATATGTTTTGGAACTATCCATGTAAGAAATTTTATATACTGAATTGGATTTTTTTGAAATTGGAACTTCGAGTTTAATGTATAATTTAGATATAGTGGTGAGATGTGTTTTGTAAATTTTAAGGTGATTATTTCGAAACACAATTGATTTTGGTGTAAATTCTTCATGAATAAATGGAAGTGATTTATATATAAATGAAGATATAAACTTGTAATATTCAACTCCTTCATTATTTTGAAAGTTTGTTCTTTCACAAAATCGGATTCTGTTTACTAAAGATTTGTCCTGAAGAAGGTGTGAAATATACCGAAAGCTTGACATAAAAAAGAGCATTTTTTGAAACAGCCCAGTAAATTACTGCAACCTCACAAATTTTACCAATTTATAATTCAACTTCAGCTTTCCATTGAAAATATAGTAGGGGTGGTGAGTAGCTCTTGATTTAGGACTGTCAAAAATGCCTCTCAGAACATGTTTTGAACAAATTTTACCTAATATAATATGATCCATTCAAAGAGAAGATTGAAAAGATTTGTCATTCAGACAATTTTATAAGGAGACTGAAGTTGTCGACATAAACATAGTCTATTTTGTTAAAAGTGTTTTATTCATTATCAAACCGGAATTGTTAGAATAACCGAAATTACGTATTCCAAAAAAAAATCCAAGACTAACATTAATGGTATTAATAGTTTTTATAAGCAGTTTCAGAAATAGACATTGATTAGTTTTTCCCACCACTGAATTTCAAAGATTATCCAATCAGGATGATATGAAAAATAGCAACTGGAAGAATAATGGAATAAAAATATGATAGGAGTGATCATTCTGCTATTGCAGTCCTACTAATGAAAAAAATAGGCTATTGTATGTTTATGAATGGTCCCCTATATTGTCCTGTTAATTATGATCTACTGATAAATGTTATTCACACTTACATTCTGAGTAATTTGTTTCTGGCTTATGTTTATCTGGTTTTTCATTGGTTATTACATCATTTGATAACTGTTCAGAGTATTTTTGTCCAATTTTCATGGTGTTTTTTTATGGTTCAAGTTGTTGATATTGTTCTTCAATTGAAATGCAAATTATAACTATCACTAATAGAATAGATTTGAAAATTAGGGTTAGACAATCATTTGTTTAGTTCTATTATAAATAATCCTTCAAGGAATAGGATAAATTATACATCAGGTACATAATACTTACAATGGTTTCAACTGTTCACTGATTCTATTTATAAACATTATTTTCTGCTTATTTCATCATATAACATCTCCAGGATTGATAATGCAATCTAGCAAAAATCAAAATGAACAATGTTTCAATTTGTTTGTGTAGGGATCTATGTTTTTTTTTCAATTCACTCCATTTCCATTTCACCGTAGAGGTGATTTCATAAACATTAGATAAATGTTTATAAAATTCATTGTAAAACAATCTTTTTCAAAAATTTAGTACCCTTTTTAAATATCTTCTTCTTCTTAGGTTTTTTGGTCTTTGCCTCAGAGTAACAAAAGACAATAGAGAGGCATTTTCCATCCTTACATTGAAGGCAGCATAACTTTGTTTGTTTACGGGAAATGAGTTGGACCATAAAACAGTGGCGGTCGGTTTAGTTG